AATACTCTCAGCTTGATAAAGAAGGTTTGGCTGTGATCTTTGGAATTAAAAGGTTCCACAAATACCTCTATGGACGAAACTTTACAATTGTAACGGACCACAAGCCCTTGATATCCCTGTTCAATGAAACTAAACCTGTTCCTCAGATGGTGTCACCACGTGTTCAGCGTTGGGCTGTATGGCTCAGAGCTTATGAGTATCAGATTGTGTATAGACCTGGAAAGCAGCACATAAATGCAGATGCCCTCAGTAGGCTCCCCCTTCCAGAAACATCACCTGCTGAGGAAGAGGAGGATCTGGTGCTGATGCTGGATGGAATGGATGATGCGCTGGTGACCACGGAACAAATAAGACATTGGACAGCTAAAGAGGTGACATTGTCACGAGTGCAGGAGTATGTCTTAAAAGGATGGCCTTCTACAGTGGAGCCTGAACTCCTGCCTTACTTCACCAGACGCTGGGAGCTCAGTGTGAGAGATGGATGTGTTCTGTGGGGGGCTCGTGTCATTATTCCTCAGAAAGGAAGGAAAACTCTGTTAAAGTTGCTGCATCAGTCCCACCCAGGAATGTGTAGGATGAAAGGACTAGCTCGGTCATATGTCTGGTGGCCACAGATGGATCGAGATGTTGAGAGGGAAGTAAACCAGTGTGACGCATGTCAACAGCATAGCATGTCTCCCTCTACAGCACCCTTACATCCCTGGGAATGGCCAGAAAAGCCTTGGACACGACTCCATGTGGATTATGCAGGTCCATTTTTGGGTAAACTGTTTTTGGTGATTGTTGATGCCCATTCTAAATGGATGGATGTATATCCAGTGACTACAGCAACCTCACATGCAACCATTGAAAAGCTCAGACAAAGTTTCAGTGTCCATGGATTGCCACAGATGTTGGTGAGTGATAACGCTACCTGTTTTACAAGTGCTGAGTTTGCTGATTTCATGTCTAAAAATGGGATCAACCATGTCACCTCAGCCCCTTTCCATCCTTCATCAAATGGACTGGCCGAAAGAGCAGTTCGAACCTTTAAGGAAGGGATGAAGAAGATACAAGGAGGAAATGAGAGCTTGGAAGCAAAAGTGTCCAGATTCCTTTTTAGTTACAGAATCACTCCACACTCTACTACAGGCTTGTCACCAGCTGAAATGTTGATGTCAAGGAGACCTAGGTCTGCCTTGGATCTGTTACTTCCAGACATGAAGGCTAAGGTGGTAAAGAAACAGTGGAAACAAAAAGTTAATCATGACACGCACACAAAGCTCAGAAGTTTTGCACCTGGGAATCCTATATTTACAAAAAACTATGGAAATGGTCCCAAATGGATTCCTGGAACGATCGAGAGCTGCACAGGTCCCCTGTCATGTACAGTCCTCATAGGAAATGGACAGATCGTGAGGAGACATATTGATCAAATCAGGAAGAGAGAGTCTAGTGGTGTTCCTGATATAGATCCTAGTACACCTCAGGCTGTGAGCAGCCCATCTCTTATGGAGACAGAACAAGTACAGTCCCCTGAGGTCCGGATCCCTGACTCTTCATCCCATGTGGAGGACTCTGGGAGTACCCCACTGATACTGGGGAGTGAGTCCCCACATGTATTACAAGAACAGTTAACACCACCCTTAAGGCGCTCTATTAGAGAGAGACGCCCGCCTGACTATTATAGGCCTTAAATAAACACTGAAAAGAAAGTGAATATTTATTCAGCTCTGCAGAGAATACCACCGTTGCTTAACTTTAGTTAAAAAAAAAAAAAAAAATAAAAAATCTGTTTCTAAGTAGTTGATATAAGGTTTCAGTTTTTGGCAAGTTCATAAGTTCTTAAGTTTGAAAAAAACCTAAATTGTAAGTTATAAATTGAGAGTTAATTTGAAGTAAGTGCAACATATAAAGTTGAGTAAGTGTATAATGTTTGATTAACGTGTCTTATGTTCTCTTGCAGTGTATGTTGTCTGCAGACCTGAGAAGGGAGGATGTAGTATCCTAAATACTTCTGGAGTTAGATAGAGGGAGCTGTAGGATCCATGGGTGGACCTGACAGGAAGTCCTGTCAGGAAGTATTTTATATAGGAATGATTTGTTATGAATTGTGTGTCTTTTTGTCTGTCACTATCATTGATTAAAAGCCCAGGAAAATATGATGGGAGTTTTGTGTCCTCCTTGTGCTGCCTGGCCCACAATATTACAGAAAGTAAAGTGCATTAAACAAGCTAGATAGTTAGCTACTGCTATTTACATTTAGGCCTACCTGCAGTGTCTCTGCACAGAACAGCAGAGACTTGAGAGGACGGGGCTACTGATGTCATGAGGCAGCAGACGACATGTTAGAAATTGGTACAGTCCCTTTAGGGGCGTCGCAAAGATTCCCAGAACGCCTGATGTTGGTTCATGTAGAGCTAACATGTGGCCTGAGTTGATGTGGTTGTCATTGAGCTTATCTGAGGTTGTAGAGTTCAGATTACTTGGATGTAAAGGGACAACTCGTGGGTTAATTGAATCTGAATGAAGTGAAATGTAATTGGAAGACGTTAACAGTATTTTCAGCTGCAATACTGTATCTCTCCTCAAATTAGAATTATCACATTATCTATAGGCATGATAGATAAGTATTATGATAAGACTGTTCATCACTGCGAGCCGATTAACTTTATTGAATAAAGTTGACTGTTCTGCGCATTATAATCAAAAGTCCTACAACTGTGAGATGAATGTAATGTTAAATACAATATTTTCCCATGATATGTTGAAGGACAAAATATTTAGTCTGTAGTAATTACAAAATACTAAAGTACCATACATAATATTTCACTTCAAAATACTTGAGGTAAATTGTCCTTTGCGTCGGTTGTAGTCTATGTAGATAGGAAGGTTTGTAGTTGATGGTGTTGCTGGATAGATGAGTTGTGAGATAGTTGTCGTCGATAGGTCTGTGTGATGATGATGTGTGTGTGTGTAGGGTGCTGGTCGATGGTGCTCGGATACTCCGCTTCATGTATTCTGCTAGGGCTCTGACTGTCTTCATCGTTCGCGTGTCACAGCCATGCCTTCTGCCAAACTTCTACCTGTGGCTGGTAACTCGGGTTCTAACATCACTGGAGGTGAGAAAGACAAACACATGAGATTATTATTATTATTATTATTATGATTCATCTGTATTCACTTTGTAAAGGTTAATTTTCACAAACTCATGATAATAGAATCTAATTTGTTGATAGAATGATATAAACTATTTAAAATTTCACTGAAAACACCTGAATGCATGGGCTTCTTGTAACTCAAGGTATGCATGTTGCTGTTGGTGTGTAGAGATGATAAAGTCCAAAAATTAATATTGTACAGTACAGTAAATGTCATGATGTACATTTTGCTCCATGCTCTGATGGAGGCCACTAGACCGAAACGTTAGCATGTTTGTTGACATGAATAATGTGGTGAAATTGAGATTAGTCAACTTTGTCCTGAAGCTCTGTGTGTGTGCAATGCCTTTTTACCCTTGGGTAGTCAATGGTGGAGTTGTATTACCTTTGAACAGAGCCAAGCTAACCATTTCCCTTTCCATTTCCTGTCTTTATGCTAAGCTAAGCTAACTGGCTGTTAGTTTTTGATTCATATTTAACACAGAGCAATGAAAGTGATATCAATCTTCTCCTCTAACTCTTGATAAGAGAGCAAATAAGTTTCCTCCCCAAAATGTGAATCCCTTCCTTTAACCCAACACAATGTTTGAATTCGTTACATAGGCTCTGTAAGTTCCTTAAATTCTATGTATGATGAAGTTATAAAAATAAAGAAAGTATAATACATATTTTCAGTGCTTCTACCTTAAAGTAGCTTTTATAAAGTTTCATTATTGCTTTTTTAGGTTTGCATGGAGCTGAGGTGAGGAGCTCCATTATTGGGGGGCACGATGCCCTAAAAGGCAGCTGGCCGTGGATGGTCCACCTAAACATCACATCTTACAGCAACAAAAATTGGCGCTGCGGCAGCACCATCCTCAACAGTCAGTGGCTGCTGACCGCTGCAAGGTGCTGGGATTCGTAAGTGTGTTTTTCTAAATTGTATAAATATACCTATATTCATGTAAGAATACTTTTGTGTAGTGTATGTGTGTTGGGTTTTTACACTTAATGGAGGGTTCATCCATGAATGCAGAAAAACTAATACGTCTTTTGTGTTGACAGATCAGACAAGCCTAATTTGGCTCGATCAATGGCTTGGGTCGGCACACACAGCCTGCAAAAGGGGTCTGCCCGTTACCTGGGTATATATGCTATCATTCCTGAACCTAAATACCGAGCTGTGGGCAATGGCTTTGTCAATGACATTGCTCTGGTCAAGCTGAAGAAGAAGCTGACATTCTCAGACAGCATTCGCCCAGTGACTCTACCCAGTGTCGATGACACCTTTGGCCCATCGTCTGAGTGTTGGATCACTGGCTGGGGGAACATTGGGACTGGTGGTAAGCTGTACACATGACGTAGCCTATAAGATACTATAAAGGGACAAATGAACACATCAGCGAGTTTTGGATTTATGGGGGTCATGTGTTGGACTATTGCTAACTACCTGAAATCTTTACACTTTGGTTTTTGTTTGGATTTGGTTCAAATTCTTTTGATCCCCTACAAGATATAAAACATTCTTTAAATAATAGTTGATCAGTTCACTGGTGTGTTTTGTCCATAAAAAATCTAATTGCCGTAATTTGTCACATAATGGACAGAGGATTTGGTAGCATGAATAAATAAAGATCAGTAATTCTACTTTATTGTTTGCCATACTCATTTTACACTACTGTCAACAACATTTAACATTTAATAATGTTTTTCACGTTAAAAGTCTTGTGTGTCCGTGTGTGTCACTGCAGTTCCTCTGCCGGATCCAGAAGTCCTTCAGGAGCTGAAGATTCCCATCGTCCCTAACAGTGTGTGCAAGACACAGTATCCTGAGCTGAACTCTGACATGCTGTGTGCTGGGGATATGGTCGGAGGGAAGGACGCCTGCACAGTATAATATTTTATTATTTAAGTTGACTGAAATCTAAATTCAAAATTCTTTCACAACATAATGAATCAATTGTATGCATTAAACAATCAGGGGGAGTATCTTAAAGGTCCAATATTTTCCTCTTCTCCTGTGTTTTATTTGAAGTGGTGATCATAAGAAGATATATTTGTGGTTTTAAGAACCAAAAACCATCTCAACGTAGTTTTACATCTCCTCTCTCAGGTTTCACTCTGGAGCTCTAGTAACAACAGGTCGGTGAGCCAATCAGAAGAGAGGAGGCTCTGAGCCTCTCTTCTGATTGGCTGACTGTTTTTCGAGTGATCCAATAAAAATATATCAGATTTCAGGTAAACACTCAGAGGAACCAAATCTGTCAAGGTTGGATGGTGGGTCCAAGTGGGCGGGGCTCGGGGCGTGCCTGAGAGCTGGGACTACTTTGTTGTGACATCACAAAGTTCCAGAAGTCCTGACGGCTGGTTTTAAGGCTCAGTTTCTGAATACAGGCTGTGTGCATTTCTCTGTGGAATGAGGCTTTGATACTTTCACAGTATTAATATAGAACCTAGACCTGCTTCATGATCAAACAACATATGGACATCTACCTCTATACTATATGAGACTTTTAAAGTAGGCCTATAGGTTTACAGAGGTAAAGCATTACAGAGGAAAACATAATACTAATACACTTATACCCCTGCTACCAGCTGTAGTTAAAATCTTTAACTGTAAATTACAGTTAAAGATTTTATGTAAAAAAAAAATACATATGATGAGCTTATGCAAATAAAATGCATTTTTAAAAATTTGTATCAGCTCGGCAAGAAACATCTAACAATACAAAGGAACAATGCAAACTGCACGGTCTAACACCATGAATGCGCATGTGTGTGTTTTTTGGGCTCCACAGGGGGATTACGGCGGCCCACTGGTCTGTCGTGCAGGCAGTGGTTTCGTGCAGGTTGGCATCATGAGTTATGGGAGTCCTAACGGTTGTGCTCTCTCAGGCCGCCCTGGCGTCTACACCCAGGTGTCCAAGTATCTGCGCTTCATCAATGACTACATCCACCACGCTTCAGCTGAGGTCTAAATTTCCAGGAAGCTGAAGTGGTCCAGTCTATTTACCTGCCAAGCCGCCTTACTGTTTAAAGCTTCTCCCCTGTGCCGTACTGTCAGTCCATGTGGTCCTTTCTGCTGATTGACTTGTACTCTGGTTTGTTCAACTAAATTCTTTGCATTAAAGCTTTAAAGCATTGATCTTGGTGTTTCTATATGTGTTGGAGAATTCCTGTTTACATGCTTCAAGCACATTAGCAAAATCAGACATCTACAACCATTAACACAGAATGTCCCTCAACCCCCAAAACCAATGGCTCCAGTGTAGTAATATTAGTAATTATTGCAATTTTTTTCAACTGGAATTCATGCACTGTGAAAGATTCGTGCACCAGCTAGATCCTGCCAATACCCCAATACAGGTTTCCATCTACTATACTTTCATAACAGAATGTTGACTGCAACATCAGGACTTCTTCTGAGATATTATATTTCACTTCCACAACAGTTAAAAAAAATAAAAATTAAAAATATTTCTAGGAGAAAGAGACCACACCCACACCCACACCCACACACCCACACACACACACAAATAGTATACTATAAATATATAATTAATGTACACATCAATATTGATTTTGGTATTGTTTGTTGCTGAGTGCAAATTATACAGTGACAATCAGGGGTTGACTTTTTCTCTGAGGTGAAAGGGAACCCAGTACACTGCAGGTGTGTGCTTCAATAAACGGAAATGTTAACCTTTTCAGGATCATGCTTGTTTTACTGAAGCTGTCAAATAAATGTAGTGACGTAGTGACTGCTAATACAATTACTGAGCCTTCAGCACACATGGATTTTCATATTGTTCAATGACCCAACAGGTAAAACTCTGAGTTAATTGAATTGCTGAGTCAAAACAAAGATGTCTATTATAGAAGCTAATATCA